CAAGCATGTTAATCAAACTCTCTTTTTGGTCAAAATTGTTTAGGCAGAAGCCAAAACAAAAAAATGGTCAAAACGATGAACTAGGGACACCGTTGAGTCAGGTGTTCTGTCTTTTCCCCATTGTCAACATACTTTCCAGAAGGGCACTCTACCTGCCAGAACGGGCACAGTTGAAGCTGTCAGTAAAGGGCTGAAAGCTCTCTCATCCTCCAAGTAGCGAGGTATCAAGCCAAGTGCGAAGCACGAAATGAAATGGATCAAGATATTCCACTCCCTTGTCTGGACAAACTTGATCACACCCAAAACTCCCTAGCAGAACATCGTCAACCGATGTCAGCTGCAGATTGGCTACACACCCAGTTGTAGCGCAACCCCTCTGTGAAGGAAGTTCACTGTTGAGCAAAAGAGTGAGAATCTAGCAGAATGCTAGGGGCAAGAGCCCGCAACTTCCTATTTCTCCATCAACCACCCAGGGGAGGGATAAAAAAAAAATCAGAGAGATTGAAGAATAGAAAGATGTGTGATGAGAGAAAAAGTGAGAAAAGGGTTTTGAGAGAAAAACTGAGCCTGAGGGTCGAGTGATGTGAGTATCACAAATGAGAAAGGGTGGAAATCAATACCCTAAGAAACTGGCTCCTCGCGAACTAAGAGGTCTCTCGCCTTTGTAATGTGTCTGAGTGTCGTGTTTGTTGTTTTGTTTGTCTCAATTCTTGTTTTGAGTCATTTTCGAGTTTTACTCGATGTGTTTAGGTTGTTTACCTTTTATTTCTCTTTGATTGAGTCATTTTGACTATGGTCAGCTGCAGGCTCAATACCCGGTTGAGAACCCTTTTCTCACTACAATTTCAAAAATGAATCGCTTTGTGTTCAAAGTGCTGTGCCATTCTCCACATTTACACAAAACAGAATTCGTTCTTTCATAAAATCGTAGGGTCCAACCCAGGTCATCTCAGAGCAGTAGAATCAGGACCTATCTGAAGCTATAGGTTCCAAGTTGCAAAGTAAAAGAAGGAGCAGTGTTCAGAGAAATAGAGTACTGCGTTATGGGTCGTGTGTTCAAAATGAGCAGTGTTTAGAATGGGTTGTGTGTTCAGAGAAACAGAGTACTGTGTTATGGGTTGTGTGTTCAGAATGAGCAGTGTGCTGTACAAGCTGTGTGTTCAAAGTAAATAGAATATTGTGTTGACCATTTTCGCGCCGAAATGGCAATCAGAAGTGCTCTCCCGGAGTACTGGTCCCTGCCAATGGCATCTTGGCTGTGTTTGCAATGAGGAAAAGTTGTGAGTATGATCAGGAAGAAAAGCGGCATCTGTGGTTTCCCCAGCAGATGTCGCTCCTTGTCAACATTCCAGCACCTTTGAACTGTGAGTTGAAGGCAAGTGTTCGAAGAGCACAATGGGAGATCCCCGTCAGAGTAGAGTGGTGGTTCACCGCCACTCACTTCATGAGGTACGTTCTAAAGTGCCGCTTTGTCTGTTTATCGCTTTCATGCATTGTATTGCATTCTACCTATCGAGTTTCTTTCTCGTTCACGCACGATATTATATGTACCGTTCATTTAGAGAAGTTCTGGTTCAGTTTGGTTGATCCCTGTTTCCACTCGCATGTCGCGTTTGAATGACTGCGCTTCCCTGCACAGTCCTTCCCTCTCATGCGTGTGCCACGCTGAGAGATGCTTTCTTTCTCCTCTTGCGTGTGCCACGCTGAGGGATGCTTTCTTTCTTCTCTCGCGTGTGTTATGCTGAGAGATTTCTTTTTCTCCTCTCGCGGGTGCTATGCCGAGAGGTTTTGCCCTTTTTTCTCTCGCATGTGCTACGCTAAGAGATTTCTTTTTCCCCTCTCGCGGGTGCTACGCCGAGAGATTTTCCTCCTTTTCCGAAACACGGAGATACGTCCCTATGTTTCCTTCTTTTTCCGAGACACGGGGATACGTCCCTATGTCTCTACTTCTTTTTGAAACACGGGGTTGTCTCCCTTTGTTTCTCCTTCTCTGGATACGGGCATTTGGAATACGTTCCAATGCTCGTGCCATTTCTGAAACATGGGAATACGTCCCTATGTTTCCTTGTTTTTTCGAGACACGAGGATACGCCCCTATGTCTCTACTTCTTTTTGAAACACAGGGTTGTCTCCCTTTGTTTCTCCTTCACTGGATACGGGCATTTGGAATACATTCCAATGCTCGCGCCATTTCCGAAACATGGGGATATGTCCCTATGTTTCCTTCTTTTTCGAAGACACGGGGATACGTCCCTATGTCTTTACTTCTTTTTGAAACACGAGGTTGTCTCCCTTTGTTTCTCCTTCTCTAGATACGAGCATTTGGAATATGTTCCAATGCTCGCACCATTTCTGAAACATAGGGATATGTCCCTATGTTTCCTTCTTTTTTCGAGACACGGGGATACGTCCCTATGTCTCTTTTTCTTTTTGAAACACGGGGTTGTTTCCCTTTGTTTTTCCTTCTCTGGTTTAGAGCATTTGGAATACGTTCTAATGCTTGTACCATTCCGAAACACGGGGATACGTCCTTACGTTTCTCCTTTTGTTCCTTCCTCACACGATTTCAGCATGTTTGGAATTGTTTTGACCTCTTCTCATGATTCCAGCATGATTGGAGTTGGTCCCCCTTTGCATCTACTGTACTGTCTGTTGTATCGCACTATTTTTGCAAATTATTAATCGCACTTTTTTGTGCACCATACTTGCATTTTGCATTGCATTTCAATTGCGCTGGTTTGCGCATTGCGCTATTTTGCGTATTGCATTTCTTTCGCACTGTCTTGTCCACTCTCCGGTCTAGGAGACCCTAAATCCTCTGAAGGTGCAATTCCTTTGGTGTTTGTCGTGCCCGAACGACTTTCTGGTCTAGGAGACCTTAAATCCTCTAAAGGTGCAATTCCTTTGGTGTTTGTCGTGCCCGAACGACTTTCTGGTCTAGGAGACTGTCACGCCCCAAACCCGCCCCTAAAAGTTTGGGCATGACCTATTCAGAAACGGACATGTAACCTGGTAATATAACATACGGGGCCTTATCGGAAGCACGAAAAAAATGGAAATAATGAAACAAATAAACTCCATTGAGCTACTTCTACATGCCAGGATCTCATTCATCACATGCATTATAGTGGATAGATAAAGTTCCAACTATAACCCGGAGAATATACAAACACATTTACAATGGTGTACTAGTGTTCGAACGCTAATGCGTGAGAAATGGTATGTAAGCCCCGTATTTACATATCTGCCACTGTGAAGGAGAATCCGTATAGGTGTTCGACTTAAACAACCAGGTGCAACATTTGAAGTTTTGTCTATTGGTCTTTTATAATTGTGCTTTTTTACTTCTGGGTTTCTAAGCGAAACCTTTTATATGGGCTGATTGCCTCTAGTCAGAGGATAGTTCACAAGGAACACTAGGACCTTCAAACAAGTTTGACCAAGAGGAAACCAAATCTACTGAGAAGGTAAAAGATATTGCATCATTGTGCATTGACTTATCCTTTCTTTTATATGTATATTTTTCCCATTCTGCTTCTCATTCCCTAATATGCCTTTTAGATTTTTTTTTTCCCAGCCTCAATTTAAATCAATGATTAACTGTCGTAGGATTTATATCTCTCTAGATTGGTTGTTAACATTTTTCTGAACTTAATGGATCTTCATACACTACTTTGCAGCTTGCAGTTTTTGCTCCAAGATTGCTTCTCAAGTGTGATTGCTTACGAATTGTAGATGACTGCCTATGTTCTTTCTTATACTTGGTGTCCGTCTTACTCTTTGTTATCATTGTATTTGTCTTCTTCTTATTTTTCTTCTGTTAAATAGTATTCTACTGTTTTGAACCAAAACATATTTAAATTCTCTTAATCCTATTCCCCAGATCCTCTTCCACCAATTGTGGTGGTGTAGAATTTTAAAAGATCTTGCATCAAGCAAATTTTGAAGCTTATGGGGCTATTAACTTTATGCTACTCCGTAGAGTGCATAATGATATTATTTTATATATGGAGATCTATTTTTTAGCTATAAGTTATGATATAAGGTCAATGATCATTTCCATTTTTTGTCTTCTGCCCTCTGATTATGCCAGCCAACTTCTATTTGTCCAAACAGAGGGTTAAGACTGTTTTGCGTATCTTGAAATGGAAAGTTGAATTTTGAAAGAAAAAAAAGACTCTGGTTCCCCTGCTTGATGGCCAAACTTAACTTACGTTGAAAGTACATTAGTGATTCCCCCCCCAGACCCTGGATAGTAGCGAATGCACTTGGACTTAATGTTTTAAGATCATATAATCATGCAGTTTTTCCTTGTAAAAAGTCTAGTTGGATTTGTTTTAGTCCTGATGTATTATACCGGGCAGTTTCCCTCCGTTGATGACTGGCATGTTGGAACTATTATTACTCCAATAGTTTATTTTCAATTTTGCTTGCTGACAATTTTTGTATGGGATATATGTTTCACGATGTACTATGTAATAACACAACTTATGGCAAATCCAGTTACTACTTACCATTTTTAGAGGCTCTTTTCTGTCATATAATTTCATCGAACAGAACTTTGTTTAGTCCCTGCCCCTGGTATGATTGATTATGATATGAACATATATTTCTTCTTCTTACAGGTACTTAGTGATCCCAAATGTCGAGGGTGATGGTAGAGACGAATGGGAGATCAGATCGTCCATTGGATATTCATTAGTAGCAAAAAGTCAAGAAACCTGATCTCGAGAAACCTGATATCAATTTCTGGTATCAATTTCTTGTTCTTTCTTGGGGTTTATATGATTAGAAACCTGATCTCGAGAACTCAAAGCTTGTTAGGGTTTTCGCTAATTTCTCTTAGAAATACAGGGATCTGATCTCAAAACTTGTATTTCGTGCTCTATTTGCGTTGAATCGATCTCGGTGTTCCCATGGTTCAAGAAGAAGAGGCCTCTTAGAACTAACAGGTTTGATCTCGAAACCTGTGTTCTGATGGTTCGAGAATGAGAGGTCTCTATCTCTCTCTCTCTCTCTCTCATAGTTTGCATATTTGATTTGATATAATCGACCAAATTTTTCTGATAGTTCTTCTTCTAGCTGGAATTATTGCTTCTCAATATTTTTTTGATTTGCTATTGTAGTAGGGACTTTCCAGATTTTTTTATTTTTATTTTTTATTTATTTGCAATGAGATTGGTCCCTCCAGACCTGATCTGTTCTTCCAAAAAGAGTCAAATCCACTCAAGCACCACTTCCTCTTCTTCTTCTACTATTTATTTATTTATTATTATTATTTTTGTGATAGTTGTTTTATGCTATTATTTTTCTCTCACTCTGGTTTTCTCTTTTCTTCTTGGATATTCATTAGTGTAAACTGTTTTTTTTTTCTTTCTTCTTTTGCAGATCGATGTGGTACTTCTTAGGACTCATAATTCACCATTTTAACCCATTAATTAACTCCCAACATCTTCAAACCATAAAACCCCAAATCTCATACTATACACTACATGCTCTAAATATGGAAATTTTGTATTTAGATAATAAAATGTCACAAATTTATCTATGGATATAAGTATTGAAGAGTATTCAAACCCTTACCTCAATAATCAAGCAAAGAAGTGAGCTTGAGAAGAAGCCTTCACAAATCCAAGTTCTAATCGGGTAAAAACATCGATCCTCCCTTGTTCTCCATCCTTGATGCCAAAAACCATGGTGGATCATGAGCAAAGTAAAGGAATTCAGGGATTTGGGGCTAGGGTTTCGGACTGGAAGAGGGGAGAAGAAGAGAGGAAAAGAAAATGTAAGAAATGGTCCAAAAATCACGTTTTTTTAGCTGCTGTCCCGCACAGCCCGCACAGCCCGCACGTGCGGCGTTATTCCCCGCACGTGCGGCTCTGCTTCCAGCACAGATGTGGAAACTTCAAACGGGTATAACTCTCTCATCGGGACTCCTTTCTAGGCCGTTCTTGTTTTCAAATTGAAGCCCCGGAAACAAGCTTTCCAATGGTTCCAACCTCACATTCAAATTCTAAGTATGGAAGGAGAAAAGGGCAAAAGAGTGACGGCTGGTCAAAAATTCAAACTCAAATTTGGGACTTTTTATCTAATCTTATCTATATATCTTGTTAATGCTTCGATCAAGGTTCCAAACATCATCCAAAGGTCCTCAATTATAATATTTATAGTTCACTTGCCAACCCATCAATATCAAGAGTCCGACAACCATACAAATTTTAAGGTGACAGGCACCACTATATATCAATCCAATGTGAATTTAAAATCCGAGTCGTTACAGAGACCTTAAATCCTTCACTCTGCTTCGCACTGTCTTGTGCACTATCCGGTCTAGGAGACTTAAATCCTCTAAAGGCGTGATTCCTTTGGTGTTTGTCGTCCCTGAACGACTTCCGGTGGTCTGGTATAGCCACCTGCCTGTGTTTGCAGGGAGTTCCTAGGAGATCAACTGAGACGGTGGAAACTAAAGTTCGAATGGCTCATGCCTAGAACGCAAAGGTTCGGGATTTTTGAGACTAAAGTCTGGTTTAAATACCCAGGGGTGTATCCCCGGCTTGAAATCTGTATGGAGGCCCCACAGGTTGAGGTAGCAGATATGCGCCTCAATTCTAGATACTGAACTAACCTAGTCTGTCACCCTGTTAGAGAATAGAGAAAGCTACGACCATAGCCAGGGAGAAAGGTAGTACCTGCGGTTCAATCGAGAAGAAGGGGTAGATTCCCACATCAGCATGAGGTAGGACATTGCCAAGGTAAGTCATTACCAATTGCCCCTGTAAGGTACCTTCGCTTCCTAACTACTACATTATCTAGTATAGCTATTACATTGCATTGTACATAGCATTTATCGCATGCATTCACTGCATATCCATTGCATCGCTTGCGCCTTTCCGTGTTAAGCTTAGTCTGGCATGTGCTCATACTTTTTGGGTTAAAGCATGGTTATGTGATTATGTGTACTCACCTATTCCACTGAGGGAATTGTGGTTTGAGGGTGACAACACCATTTCCGTGTTAGACGTGGTTTGTTTGTGTCCATGCCTTCTCTAGGCAAGATATGGTTTGGCCACGCGCCTTATCCACTCCATCTATTACATTTTAGCTATTACATTGCATTGTACATAACATTTATCGCATGCATTCACTGCATATCCATTGTATCGCCTACGCCTTTTCATGTTAGGCCTGGTCTGGCATGTGCCCATACTTTTCACGTTAAAGCATGGCTATGTGATTATGTGTACGCGCCTATTCCACTAAGGGAATTGTGGTTTGAGGGTGACGGCACCATTTCTGTGTTAGACGTGGTTTGTTTGAGTCCATGCCTTTTCTAGGCAAGATGTGGTTTGGCTGCGCGTCATTTTCACTTCATCCATTGCATCACATTGTAGTTTTATTGCATTCAGCATGTAGGATCATGATCTTTCCTCAGCGGATCATTCCACACTTATATCATACCACCCTAATTACTTGTACTTTGTGGTCTTTCTACGAAACACATAGTTTTGCATGTGTTCGCACCCCTTTCACGTTGAAACACGGTTCTGTTATATGTAAGCATCCATGCTGGGATGGTCCAGCACTGAGGATGTAGGCACTTAGCCTGTGTTAGGCATCGTTCGGCTCGTGCCCATTGCCTTTTCTGTGTTACACGTAGTTTGATTTTGCATCTCCATCCCTTTATGATATTTGTGAGGTTTTGTACTACTTGTGGTTTGATCATCTCAAATACATTGCATATCATTTGCATTGTTTCGTTTTGTAATATTGCATATCATTCGCATTGTCTTGTGCACTCGCGTTGTCTAATGCATCGCACTATTTTGCGTATCGCACTGCTTTGTGCACTTTACTTGCATTTTTGCATTGCATTTCATTCGCGCTATTTTGCGCACATTATATGCACCTGTTAGTGCATTACATTTCATTCGCGCTATTTTTCGCACCCTACCTGCACTTGTTAGTGCATCGCATTGTTATGTAAATTTCGCTTGCATTGCTTGTTTTCATACCGCATTGTTATACGTCACACTTAGATTGCGTTGTCATGTATCCATTCCGCATTGTTATGCGTCACATTTAGGTTGCATTGTCTTGCATCCATTCCGCATTGTTATGCGCCACACTTAGGTTGTATTGTCTTGCATCCATTCCGCATTGTCATGCGTCACACTTAGGTTGCATTGTTTTGCATCCATACCGCATTGTTATGCGTCACACTTGGGTTGCATTGTCATGCATCTCTCAACTTGCATTGTCACGTACTTTTAATTTGCATTGTTATGCATGTTGTTAACAATATTGCATCTATTGAGTTTCTTCCTCTTTCAGGCACGATATTGTATGTACGGTTCATTTGAGGCTGGCGCGACTAGACGAACCGCACAGGTATTGTATATTCTCCGTGTGAGACGTAGCGAGAATTGAATAATTCTCTTTCATCCTTTCTGCATGTAATCTAGTTTGGTTCGAATTTGCTTGCTTAAAACTGTTGCATGTTATGCTTCATTACAGCTCTCTTTGCATGATCATGAGTTATGTTCGGCACCGTGCATGTCATTTGCATTTTGCCCCTGCCTTCGGGCACATATCTTGCTATCTAGTATGCTTTGTCTAAGTCTTCGGCCTCATCAAAAGTGGGTCGTCTCTGGGCTTTGTATTCACTCTCCTCATTGTTATGACTTTAGAGTTCTGTCAAAGAGGGGCAACTGTAGACACCCCATTTTTGACCGTCCTCAAGACTTGGACGTCATCGTTTGAACACTCGATGATCATCCGTATTCGTGTTCGTTTTGAGTTCTCGGAGGTCTCGATTACGCGCCTTGTCTCAAGATCTCTCAACTTGTCTGTTTTGTGCTTGGTTGAGAACCAAACACTTCTTATTTTGCTTCTAAGGGAAGAGGGTGGCTTGTTTGCCATGCCCTCAACCCACTGGCCAAGGCTTGAGGCCACCAGCCCTGTTTTCTTTCCATTGGCCAAGTGTGTTGGCCGATCAGCACTATGTTTGGTCGGCCGGGCATTGTGTTGGTCGATCGGCCATTTTTGTTGGTCGAACCCTGCTCATCTGCTTTATGCAGATATTTTATGCCAGCTGGCATGCACATTTCACCCCCTCCATGTGTATGGAGGGATTTTCCCTTGGCTTAGCTTCTCTTAGAAGCTTTAGAATTTGAGCTTCTATAAAAAGGGAGCCCCTCCTCCCTCCTCCAGGGTTCAGAAAAATTGTTCTTGAGAGCATAGATATAGTATTGTATCTATTCTTCTTTGTTTAGCCTTGTTTTGTGTCCAAAAGTGTAGTATTGTCTTACTATTGTACACAAACACACACTAGAACACCATCATTGGTTGTTGAGGTGCTAGGAGGTTGATTTCAGTGTTCTTGGGTTGGTTTGAACTCAGAAAACTTGCTGGAGCTTTGTTCTTGAAGAGGTTCTACAAATGTGAGTTCCTTGCTTTAGATACCCCATTCTTCCTTAAGCTTTTAACCCTTCTTGCTTATTGTTTTAAGCTTAGATTATAACTAATAAAAGTTCTGATTTTTAGTGCTTAAGACCTTCGTTTAAGGTCATTTTTGTGTTTGGGGTTGTTTCCCCCCTCTTAGGCCTTGTTTGGCCTTGTTCTTGTGCTTTGTTTTTAAGCTTTGAGATCACCTTGTTGTCTCAAATAGGAGAGGGTCATCCCCTCTCCTTGTTGTCTTGAATGCTTGCATAAATGGCTTATGTGGGTGGCTTGTATGCCTATCTTGTTTTAGCTTTATTTCAGTGTGTATTAGGCTTTGTTTTGCCATAATATAACTCTGTTTCAAGTTGGTTTGATGGCCTCTTACATGCTTCATGTACTTGCCTTGTAATCCCCTTATTTGCCTTAACATGCATCTTGTGTTTAGAATACCATTCTTGCATGTTTTGCCTTAACTTAAAGAAGATTTTGTTCATGTTTTATCATGTTTAAAATCTAATTTTAGTTGTATTGGTCATCCATGACTTGACTTGTATAGTTTTGGTTCAATCTAGCTTGTAAGT